AGAAACCTTCAAATTAAATCTAATTTAATTTAAAAATTTGGTATTTTCTATTTAATATTGGTTAGTTTGGATAAAGGTTTAATATGTTATTAGGGCCAAATATAGAGGGTAAATCATAATTATACAGTCAAATGCAGTTTTTTGTAAAAAATTATTTAATTATATAGAAAATTAAGGTTTCTAGTAATTGGTATTACCTCTTAGAACTCTAATTGCGACCTTCATTCGTTTTGGCATGTCTTTTTAATGGTTTTAATGTGTGTGTGTTGTTGATCAATACTATCCTAAATAATATTCAGTTCTTTTTATAAGTGATTTACCGTTTCTGTAGAATTCAACCAACATGATCAAATTTTTAGAAATTTTGTTTGTCACAATATGCAAAATTCAATACACAAGAAATATCAACATTATTAATAAAATTATTTAGATAAATGTATTGAATTAAAAAAGTAATGACTCATGAGAATTTTTTTGGTAAAACTAAAAAAAGTAACATCATTATCATTATTTACACTTATATTATTTTTATTTTTTCGTAATGTTCTTGGTTCAATACTCTGCATAAATAATGGTTTGACTATTAAAATATACATTTGCTTAAAACTGGTCATTGTACTTTAGTACACTCTTAAGAATACTAAGATTTTTGACCTTCAAACCATATGAACTATTTAAAATTTACTTCATTAGTTCCATTGAATGTATGATAATAATGTGATAATTTTTTTACAAAATAACTGTTATATACATTTATAGATTTGTATGTAGAATTTAGCCTTTCTGTTACTTAAATAATGAGACTTGGTAATTTTATTTATTTTTGACTGGTTAATTATTATTTAAATTTTTAACAAATTATATAATACCGTGAGCACTGAAAATTTAAACGATTTACACATGAAGTTAAATTATTAGTTTTTGAAGTATTTAGTATAAAAAAAGCAGCAAAATAATACAAGAAATAGTTTCTATAGGAGTAGAACGTTTACTCGTATTATTTTGTGACACATGGCTTTGAAATTATCTTGTTTCTTGATCACATTCGAGTTTGGAATTATTTTCCTTTTTAATAACATTACATAATTGAATTGTACAGAATGTTGTATAGTCTATTTTTATGTATGAGAGAGTATTAAAATAATAAAGCGTTCGTAATCCATAGGCGTACTACTTCTTTTAGTAGACAGTTAAAATATTTTTTTGAAGTTATTCCTCGAGTATACACTTATATTTTCACCTAATTAACATGCTTATAACTTCTAAACAGCTGAAGGTAAAAAAGTGCAATTTTTTCTAAAATGTTTTATTTTTCCACAAGGTATCTTAAGAACATTGTGTCAAGCGGGTTATGTAGGTATAAGGGTTTAAACTTTGACTTTTAACAACGTTACGTTCATAAATAATAATTTTAATATAAAAACTACTTCTTACCTACAAATCCAAATCAGAATCGAAATCAGAAGATAAACTGTCGCAACCAATATTTACAATGAGTGGCTCGATCATTTCATCAGTAATATTGTCCAATTTCCACATTTTCTCTTCTTCTTTAATCGTAAGATTTACTGCCTTTTCCCAGTTTTTAGGCTTCACATTATTTACAGCCTCGAAAAACAACTGTTTAACATCACTCATTTTAAAAGAATTATTTTTTCTTGAAACTTCTCCCTTTATCTGTGCCCATATCAGTTCAATCGGGTTTACTTCGCAATGATATGGTGGTGATCTAACCACCGTCATCCCACGATTTTGTTGCAATTTCATCAATTTCATATTTTTTGAATTTCTCTTTATGAAGGGAACAGAAATGATACAGTTCTTTTCTCACAGAACCGGGATGGAACTTAATATTCTTTGAATTTAGCCAATTCTGTAAATCTTTTTTTAACCACTTGGTTGTGGGAATTTTTTCTATAAGTCTCGAGTGATAACTTGCATTATCCATTACTATTATACAGTTCTGAGGAAGAAGATCTATAATTTGTTCGAACCACTCTTTAAAGACATCAGCATTCATGTCCTCATGGTAGTCACCGGTACGAGTAGATTCAAAAGTCAATAAACCACCTTTAACAAACCGTTTGAACTACCGATGTGTACTATTATTAGTCTGCGCCCCTTTCCTGATGGTGGATTTAAACCAGTAGATAAATTATTTAAAAAAGCCTGTCTTCGACTTGTAACAGTTTCATCTTGCCAAAATTTATTTGGTTTATGTCCCTCGTTGATCCATGTTTCATCTAAATAAAATATATTTCTTCTTTGGTTTCTCATTTCTTTTATAGTCCTTAGGTAATTTCTTCTCCATACTACAATATCGCTTCTTTCTATTAAAATAGACTTTCTGGAATGCTTTTTCCATAGAAAACCTATTTCTTTTAAAAGTTTCCATAGTGTGCTTCGACTCATTTCAGGGTAATCCTTATCATCTCGAACCGTGGCAAGAACTTTGTCTACTGTCGGAAATTCTTTTCTAAAGAAGAACGCATGCACTTTCCTTCGAAGTCTTTCTTTCAAAAGATTTTCTAATTGAAATTTTGGTTTTCCTGGAGCTTTACGTGCTGTTTGAAACTCGCCACATTTCTCTTCTTTAACAACTCTGTAAATCGTAGATTTCCCAACACCAAGCGTACTACTAATTCCACTGTGTCATCAACACTTTTACATAAATGTTTGTCTGTAAATTATTTAAAACAATTAAATAATAATGTTTTTTCATTAACTGTTAAAGGACCGATTTTTTGTCGTTTACGCGGCCCTTCCAAATTTTCCATGATCACACTAGAATTCACACTGCACCTTGCAAGTTGCAACTAAACGACATTTAGTAAACTGTCAAGAATACACAACTTGGACCTCCTTACTAAATGGAAAACCTATAATCGCATTTTCGGTGAAATTTGTTGGGAAGGTATTTATCTACTTATAATTCGATTACTGTAAGAAATTCTTGGAATTAAAATAAAACAAAATTGGCAAATAGGTACTTATTGAAAATAATCTTAAGATACGGCTATGTAATCTTTAATACATAGGGCTTTTGCCTGTCCAAACCTTTTTCTATTGTTCTGTACAGCTTATGTTTATAAAGGACCAATAAAAGACCCAAAACTTGTAATAGCTCAGGTACATTTATTACAATTTTAAAAAATATTTAGATTATTCTGTAAAAATATTTAAAATGACCGTACTAAGTTTTGCATTAGAAATGCTGTTTTATTACTCTCTTATACATAAAAATACACTATAATATATGTTAAATATTGTCTTGATCAATTTCACTAAATCTATTGTTTACTTCCATTTTTTAATATTAAACATAAAATGTCATAAGGTTATAAAAGGCAACATTAATCAAAATCTTGCATTATATTATAGCAATAGTAATCAATTAAAGAATGTATTAATTAAAACATGGAATTTAATTTAGTAAATAATTGGCTATCAGAATCTCTTAACTTATTTTGAAGTTATTTTTCAGTATTTATCAGGTTATACAGAAAGCTTAAAGCTAGGCAGCAAAAATGTTACTTCTATGATTGAGAAATGTCACTAAAAGTGACATATAATGTCAATAATGTAGAAAATAATAATTTCCAGTTACATATATCACTCTTTATCTACTTAAAAAAAAATCGAGTCAACATTATTAAAGAAGATGGAAGTCATCGGCAAGTGTTTGCCAGTATATCTCATTAGGCGATCTCCCGCAAAGAAAACATTCTTACAAAAGGCAATTACAACAAATCATTAGCGCATGGTTGAAGAAATGCCCGCACCAGATGCATATAAACTGTTAGATCATTCAAGCTTCAATTTCCGCTTCTTGCCTCTAACATAAAATCAAATTCGTTATCAAACTCAACACTTGAATTGCATTTACTGAGAATTATAGCTCTTTCAATCGAAAAAAAAAAATGTAATTAATAAGTTTTAGTATTTTTGTTGCAAATATCTTTTCTCATTAGTAGATAGGTAAATGTATGAGTTGAAATTTAAAACAGCAATTATTTGGCATCATTAATATAACTATCAAAGGTAGATAGCTCAGAGAAAATGTTTTAGGTATAATGAACGAGATATATACAGGGTGTTTCAAAAAAAGTGGTCCCGTTGCTAGGATAGGTAGATCACTGCACAATAAGTTGGGTTTATCTCCAAACAACAATGAATAGCACATCTTCGTTTCCAAATCAAACGTTATCAATTAAAATTAGAGAAAAGGAAGTAGCAATATACCTAAATTAATGGAGACAAATCAACTTTTTAAATTCAAAAAAAATGTAATTATTTAATTTTAATGCATAAATATATTTATTTAATCACAGATTTCTTGATGATTCATGACAGAAAATCGTCTACCACTTACTATTATATCAAAAAATGATTAATGTAATTATAATTAACAGCTAAAAAAATATAATTTATAATGGCTACATTTTGATTTTTAATGTTCAACTAATATCCTGAATAAAATAGATTTTTTTTCTCCATTACTCACAGGTAATAACATTATTTGTGATGAGCTTCACTTATAAAAACTTTGTTAACTTAATCAAACAAATGCCTATTCAGGTTTTTAAATAGTTTAATTTGGATACCTTCAGAGATGCCGACGTTATTAACATTTGTTCTGTTGTTAAATCCTTGACTCTTTAACAAATATTAGAAAAATTTCAAGGTGGGCAAACATCCTTTGTAATGTAATAACATTCTGTTGACATACGAAGCCAATTCCCAGTATTATCTAAGAGTATGTATATACAGAATGTCTCATGGGACATATAAGTTTACTATTTTTTGGTTTGTTATAATTCAAGAAAGAAGGATTATTACAAAAACATCAAGCAATTGTCTTTCTCATGAAAACAATATTTTAAAAACGTTTATTTTTATCTTATTCATTTTTATTTTATAATAATTAATTGACGTCTGCAAACACATATCTGTCCAAAATGAGAAATATGTAATTCTGATTATTGTTTTTTTGTTTTCAGTGCCCCGGGGTAATTCGCCGGTAGGTGCGTTGAGTGGTGATGGTATACGAAGTCCCTTGATTGCATCCCCCGTTAGAAAAGAACGACTGAAAAAATCGAAAAAACAACTCTCCGAAGAAGCTAAGCGTGTTCTTAATCAAGCCGATCGTCTAGGTTGCGTCACTTCACAGAACGGTAACTGTAATTTTATTCAATATTTAATTAATTTATTAAATATTTGACATTGCAATTAATTAATTACAATTAAATTTAGATTAGTTCAAGTTGCGCGCATTGATGTTCTTAAAAACTAATTAATAACCATTCTCTTACAAAGTAACATAATTATTATGGTAACAATTTAATTGGACTTGCATTTGATATAATATTTTATATTTAATATTACGTAATTAAATTGTATATCATTTAAATAGATTTTGAATATAAACTCCATGTTTTTAACTCTATGAATCAAAAAAGTAACCCACCCTCCTCATCTTACAGATACAGAGATATCAATGGTATCTATTGCCTGTACCTAAACAATGCAATAAATTTACTGTTCATATTTTTGACGACAGTTTTTCATATTATTATAATTTCTAGTTTTCGAAAATTTCTTGACATAAAATATTTTACGGGTTATTAACCCACTTGCAATATTCAGTAAAACATCTGTCTCATCAGGAAGTTAGATTAGATATTGCTAACATTAAAAAGTAATTAGAATGATCAAATAGGTGAACTTTATCTACTCGTATATCAAACATAAAAGTTAAAGGAAGTAAATTTATTTTAATTACAACCAAGATTAGATTTTCCAATAACTTCCTTAACCATATTAACACATGTTACCTGAAGGTGGAGGTGGTATTTTTTTTCTATTAGCCACAACATTAAATATAATGAACATGTATTACATTACTTACCTTGTAATATTATAAATACTTACTCATGGATACGTTTAAATATTAATTTCATTATTAGCATACAAAGATGATCTAGTTCAGTAATAAATATTATATACTCTTGTAATTACTACACAGAGTTGTCTTAGTTTATAATCAATACATTTTAAGTATAATTTATGTGCTCTTTTTATTAAATATTATCAGTAATTTAACCACTTTTTAAATAGTTTTAAGATTTGAAAAAGAAGATAAGAAATATGTTTAATAAAGTTTTAATATCCTATTTACCTTCATGAAAATCATGAATATGCTAGCTAAATTGATCAATTTCTGTTAATTTTTTGATTGATTATAGTTTCAAATTCTTCTGAGCGTTTTATTTGAATTAATATTCAGTGTTTTCTCTATAGACGCCTATTTCTGCTTACTTGAATCTATAATTTTTCAATTTTTCTTAAATAATGACATCTTCTAGCCATAATTTCTTCTTTTTCAGTTAAACGACTATCTCCATCTTATTTTTTATGATAAAAGTTTAATTCATGAATCACATTTACTGACGATCTTCCAAAATGCATGAGTAATATTATACAGGGTGTTTTATTTGGAAAAGGAAATATTTTAACCCTATGGGTCTCGCGATCTTTATGACAAAGTTTTTTGAATTTGGCCCATTTCAACCGTGCTTCATTACTTTTGAATCACTTAGTATATTTTTTTCATATTTGGCATAGATAATCTACGCTTATAGGGCAATGTATCGACATGTTAAAAAATTTCAAAATCCAGGTCCGACTTGACAAAAATTACTAAAATTTGACCCACCCTAAAACACATACACCAAATTTTCAAAAATTGAATTTTAAATTTGGAAAGAAAAAAAATTAATTACCTACTATTTTTAATAAAACATTTTATTTCACATAACAAAATACAATCACAAAAAATATGAATTTCATCAATTTCTTCTTCATTTTATTAAATATTTTAAATAAAAATCAACTAACTTTGATTCAGCACATAATCAAAAATTGTCATCTCTCTCGATTTTCTCAACTAACATTCCTACAGGGATCCAAACAATATTTGGCTTTCGTTATAGCTAATTGTCCTTGTACTTGATAATAATAATTATCTTTTTTTTTAATTTAATTAGGGCATCTGTATTGGCTAGATATTTATTTTTTACTTTCCTATCTGTATACAGATATAAGGAAAGTACAGGAATCATGATTTTTTCGACCTCGAGTTTTCGACGGATTTTTACGGTTTGAGGTCGTTTATATTCCGGACTCGGCTCCTGCGTCGCCTCGTCCGTAAAACCCAGATCAAATATAAATAAGACTCTCTATTTCCTTATTTATAACTAAGAAATTTATATATTTGGGCACATCTTAAAGGATTTTTTGTTAAAGTATTGTTACTAGTCTTTATTATCTAACCTACAATTTATTCTAAAAATCTTATGAACTAATTACTTATCTAAAAAGTTCCCACTGGGCTGTTTTGAGTTTATTTTATGGCTCTTAATCATATTAGTAAATTTTAATTCAGTTTTCAGTCGTTACCCCTAACGCCTGATCTGCGTTAGTTCGATATAAAAGGAAATAGCTACTTCCCACGAAAAATGAGTCGGCTCGCCATTTTCGTTGCAATTTTTCAACCCACACTTCATGCGAAATTGACTTCTGTATTCGAAAAAAACAACTCAGGTTCGAAATCGTGATAAATAGGGAATAGCGGTAAAGTTACTAATTTGGAAATTTGTTGGTAGGTCTCCTGTATAAGTTTTAGGTCAGATTAAATGGACGTCTTTCCTTATTGGCGAATGAATTATGGATACGCGTTGAGAGTTCGTCGGTTCTGTTTGAAACATTTGTACTTACTCGTAAATAAATATAACTTGTTTAACCGTAAGGAAAAGTGGGAGAGGGTTATGGGTACCTACTTAATAACTGTTTTCAAATGTAATAAATTAGGTACTTAATTGTTTTTTTAGGACACTGAAACAACATCTACAATTATAGATTACGTAGTCTCTGATTTTAAACCCGTTGATGTAGAGCACCAAGTAATTAGCTCAGGTCTCTCAGACCACGAAGCAGTATTTGCCAAATTTTTGATACCCCGTACAGCTCCAAAAAAAGTCCGTCAGCTAGGTAGAATTTTCTCTAAGCATAATTTCAAAAATTTCTATAATTTATGTCTAACTACTGATTGGAATGGTCTTTCTGAAGATATTGACTCTAAATTTTTAGACTTCTTAAATAAAATAATTATGTGTTTCAATACAGCTTTCCCCCTTCGCCCCATTAAAACTAAATGTCATAAATCTTGGACAACTAAAGGAATAAGAACATCATCTAAAAATATGAGGTCACTCATGTATATTAAAAAGTACACAGATAATCCCCTAATATTAAACTATATCAACAACTACAGAATATTGTATCGGAAAATCACCAAATCTGCTAAGAAAAACTATTACAAAAATCGCATCGCAAGAGCTAAAAACTCCTCCAAAGAAACCTGGTCTATAATAAATGACTTAAGGAATAAAACCCGTTCTTCAAACAGTGTAAATCCTAGCCCAGATGAACTAAACAATTATTTCGTAAATGTAAGTAAAAATATCAAATCTAACATAGCTCCGAGTCAGGATGCTCTCTCCTTCCTCCTACCTACTAAAAGGATCACTGAAAGTTTCTTCCTAAGACCAGTAAACAAGCATGAACTAGTGCAAACCATAAACAACATCCAAAATAAATTTTCCTGTGGAATTGATGGCCTGTTCACCAAAATATTTCTAAATATACCGGATGTAGTAATCAACATTTTAACTTCACTGATTAATGAATCCTTTGAAATTGGTCTCTTTCCTAACTGTCTAAAAAGAGCTATAATAATCCCACTTCAACAAGGTGGCGACAAAACCAAAACCTGTAACTATAGACCTATCGCGTTATTGCCTACCTTATCGAAGATAGTAGAACGACTAATGAAAAACCGTCTTTTGCCCTTTCTTTTCAAGCATAACATCCTCACAGCTCATCAGTATGGCTTTCTACCTAAAAAATGCACTAGCGACGCAATGTTTTCCGTTCTTAATGAAATATACACATCACTTAATGATAAACTTTTCACCGCTTCAGTATTTTGTGACTTCGCAAAGGCCTTCGATTGTGTAAATCATGATATTTTAATTAATAAGTTACAAATTTATGGCATACGGGGTTCTCCTTTACAATGGTTTAAAACTTACCTAGAAAATAGAAATCAACAGGTGCGGGCGAATGGTGAGGATTCTACAAATCTAGCAATAAGCAGTGGAGTACCTCAAGAATCAGTATTAGGTCCAATTTTGTTTTTATTATTCATCAACGACATCACAGACTTAAGAATAAGTGGTAGAATTACTTTATTTGCTGATGACACCAGTATAACCTGGAATAATTCTAACATGCAGACATTACAATCTATCATAAGTGAAGATCTAGTGACTATTAAGTCCTGGTCTGATTCGAATGGACTTTGTTTCAACACCAGTAAAACTGTAGCATTGTCTTACAGAGGTACTTTACAACCTATAACTTTAAACAATAATCTGATCCAAACGGTGACTTCAATCAAGTTTTTAGGTCTTTATATAGACGATTCTCTAAAATGGTCTGCTCATATAGATACCTTAGCAAAAAAATTATCATCCGCATGTTTTGCCATTAAATCGGTTTCTAAAGAGCTGACTCCTTCTACTGCATTAATAACCTACTTTTCCTTATTCGAATCTCACCTTCACTATGGTTTACCTTTCTGGGGTTCTTGTAGCTTATACCTTTTCGAATCTATTTTTAAACTGCAAAAAAGAGCAATCCGCTATGTATTTGGTTTAAGTAGTAGGACACATTGCGAAAATTACTTCAAAAATTTCAAAATTCTAACCCTTCCTGCTCTATTTATTTTCGAATCCGTCTGCTTAGTTCGCAAGCACATTCAAAATTTATCCGAAAGACCGACTCGTAGATATCCTACAAGAAATTTAGAGACTGATGTTTATTTAACAATGCCCACTTCTGACCTATTAAAACATTCCATTACCTACAATGCCAAAAAATTGTATAATAACCTTCCGATGCAATTAAAATCTATAAATACATACGATAAGTTCCGAAGACTGGCTAAAGCTTTTCTTCTAGAAAGACCATATTACACAGTAGCAGAATTTTATAACGTACCTTAGACATTAAATAATTAAATATTAAAGTTTAAATTTAAATTTAAATTTAA